GATGTTCAGCTTGCAGACCTCCCCAGCTGTTGTTTTCTGAACTGACATGCAGTGCACATCCCCGCCGTAGAGCACCAGGCGACCAGACTTAGGCTGAATTTCACGGACGTGGCTATGCTGCTCCCATTCCATGAAGCGTATTGCACAGGGCGTTACCCGGTCCGACCCTTCCAAGCTGTACTACCCAAGGACCCTAACTGTTCCTGACGGAACAGCCATTGTCGAGCGCCCCCTAGTGAGTGGCTGTCCATCTTCTCTTTTGCGTTAATCACCGACACCAATGCTATCCATCGTACGGAGCATAGTTCTATAAGGTCTACTCATTCCGACTGTCCTTCGTATATCGACCAACTCGATCTGCGTACACAAATCCGCACATTCAGTATGGCTGATTATCATAGGCGTTCTGCTGCCACCAATAATGTATCGTACGTCGTTTCAACTTCAGTGTTGCCCACTAGGGAGGCTGTCTACACGAGTACAAATGCCACCATTGAAGCTTCTGCCGCCCCTCGGTGCGTACCTACTCTCTTTGCCCTTGACCCGGCCTATGCCGCTAGTATAACGATTCTAAACTACATGGAAGCCTACCCTCACCCGATCCAACACATCTAGCTCCAATGCACGCCGGTTTCTCGCACGGCGCCCTGATGAGTACCGCTGCTCTTATGCAGATCGCCTCGACACACAACACTCCGATGCAACCCGCTCTGGGTGGGAACTCTCGCTCGTTTCTGATCGCCCACCAGTCGATTGCCGGCGGTGCGGGCCACGTCGATTTTTCGGACTCGTTTGTGCGAGACTCCAATCTCCCACGGAATAGCAGTAAGACTGCCAAATTTTGCTCCTTATTGTGCTGGTAACGATACTTTTAGGAAGATGGGTCTTGAACCATCCTGACTCATACAGTGAGATATTGGTGGCTCCCGGATCGCATTTGCGTCTCGGAGAGTTAAGCGCTGATTCACCCGCGACACAGCCCATATTCCCACAATTCTCCTCTCCGCCTGCAGCAAATATGCGAATTGTGCAGAGGAATCGCACCCAGGCGAGCGCGAGCTCACCGTCACCAGATATGTCGGGCGTTGGGGGCGGGGATCCGAGCGCGGAGGTACCACAGCCGCAATTCACGGCCAGCCACCTTCCCAAGCATCCTAAAGGAAAAATGAAATCAATCCTTGCACGTGCATGGGCCGCAATCGCCCGGAGATTCATGGTATGTAGTGGTACGGAGTAGACGTTATGGCGGAGAGATTTGGCTTATCATATTTGGGCTGCCCTACTCTCTATTTCTCTGCCAGTGCATCCGCCTCCGTCTAGTGGCATCCTCTTTCGGATATATCTAGACCTCCCGGCATGTTTTCACATCTTGCTGCTAATGTTTGTGGAAGCAGCATACCGGGATGTCTCAATTATTTCGTGGCTTCTATAATGGTCGTTAGAGAGGGGGCGTAAAATGGCAATTTAGAGATAAACGCCTAAGCAGTGGTCCGAGCAGGTAATCGGGGGTCGTGGCGCAACTCAAAAAGAGTGCTGCGCGTCCTGCCGCGCTCGAGCGAACGGCCAGGTACTACTAAATGTGAAGACCAAAACGCGAGCATGCCACCCATAATACGACAGGAAGAGCGCAGCACCCATCGACACCACTCGCTGTTCCGCTCAGATTGATGGCTCTCCCATGAAGCTTGGCGACTTATCCGCGAAGTCGACGAGCCTCCCGCCAGGCTCGCCCCGCGTGACGACTCGCAAGTGTGTGCCGCGTCCGCGTCGCAGGCATTGTCGTCCCTGTCGGACGCCGAAGAAGAAGGACAAGAGGGCGAGCTCTGGCGAGCTTCTAGTCGTCGTCATCGCGGTGCGAGAGCGTACGCGCACACCGACACCGCCGAGATCCTCGGGCGAACCGCCTCGCATGTGTTCCTACGTGCCTTCTAGAGGGTCACTCGCGAGCATTCTATGCTGCACCATCTGCAGCAACTCCGTCTCGCGCGGCGACTGTTGTATCCTCTCGCGCTCCGACCACCACGTACTCTCGCGCGCCATCCGCGCTCTCGGGGCACACCGCCGCATCTGCCCCGCTTACGCATTTGCACTTGCGGTTTCCCTGCCGTGCACCGACGCCGCGGTAGGACCCAACGAAGAACAATTTGCTGGGTAGCCCGTCACTGCGCGCATCGACGCTGGGAAGTCCCCCCCCCCGGGTGCGCGCGCGTGGTCCGTACCTGAGCGCAAAGAGTGAGGCGGGGACGGGGACGTCCTGCCGGGACTCTATAGTTGAGAACGAGAAGGAGCGGATGCTTCCTGTGCTGGAGGAGTTGAGGCCAGAGAAGGAGGCAGGTTGCGGTTTGCGCGGATGAAAGGGACTCGAAGGAGATGGCGCAGGGCGAGGTGGTGAAGGAGACGAAGGAGGCGAAGGAAGTGGCGAACTGAGCGGTGCAGGCGGTGAAGATGATGAAGGAGTCGAAGGGGGTGGTAGAAGAGGTCTCCAGGCAGACGAGAACAAGAGTCGCGGTGTGCGCTACTAGGCCAGCGAAGTCGATCCCTTTTGCAGGGGCTTCCGGCAGTTGCGCATCTCCTACCTTTGCGAAACCTGTCGTCACATCGTCTGCTCCCGCCAAACCTGCTGCCACTGCTGCGCCCGCAGCCGCTCATGCTGCTGATCCAAAGCCCAAGGTCGTCGCACCTGCGCGCATGGTATCACCCACAGACGAGGATCCGGAGCCGCGTACCGCGTATGAAGCCGCGATCGAAAGGAGAAACCAGGCGCGGGAAGCATCCGCGGACGAGCAAGTTCGTGTTCAACGATACGGAAGAGGTGTCTGCCTCTGCTGTAGCCGTGCCCGTCTCGGTGGTTGTCAACACGAAGCCGAGTGCCTTCGCCTCGGCTTCTGCATCGTCGAACTCCGCGCCCGGGCACAAGGAAGCACAAGGCTTGGGGGTAGTGTATAGCGTCTCAAAAGTCGGTCGAAGGAAGGTGCGTGCATGACTCTAGGCATTATCGGCTCCGTGCTCAAAGTTATTATATACACAGATACACAGGTGGCTGGAGTTATGAGGTACGATATGCACATCTCTTGGGACCCAACGACGCTGCTGACTGGGCGCGTCTCATATAAGTTTGTTGAGGATACTACAACGACAGTTCCTCGTAGATCTTCGCTATTGATCTGACAACACCGTTGCGCTTGGGCTGCCAAGATGCACACGACCGAAAACAGTATCTACGAGATAAGCGACGATCGATAG